AATGTTTAAAAGGTTTTTGAAAGACAGGATATGGGCTTTGTCAACGAAACGGAAAGAGGTGGGATATAACCGGATCCTGTGATCGGAACGAAATTCCGAAATCGTAGTTTGGAACCGTACCGAAAACGGCAGGTATACGACTCCGATCCGGTTAAAGTGATTAAGAACAGGAAACTTAGTCGGGAACCACACCGAAAACGACAGCCGTATCCGAAGACCGCACTCGGAGGTAGGAATGAGCGGGAACTAAGCAGGATCCGGATGCCGAATCCAATTTTTGGAACACTGCTTCCAGAAATTGGCCGGAATTTCACGGGATCCGTCCGTTTCCCACCGTACATCTTTGACCTGGGGACATAATTTATTCAGTTGAATAATCGAAGATCATATTTGTCGATATTTCCAAATGAATAAATCATTGTATATTTGGAGAAGAATGTTGGTAATAAATATTGATTTGATTAGATATTTCGTTCATAGAAAAAAAGACGAAAGTTCTAGTTCTATTGATATAAAGGTCATTAGGGACACTATTTCTTTGATCAAGGTTATTTAAATAGAGCATCAAACAGTTTTTTTTGATTACTTGATCATTGTTAACGCTAAGCATGCAAAAATAATATTGCTTTAAAAAGATGTTCTAAGTCAATAATGAAAGTGATTCAAGTATGATCAATCTTGGTTTTTGTTTTTTTTTTGTAAAATGATAATCGAAAGTAAGAAAGAAGAAAACAAAAGAAAAATGCTCTATGTATTCAATATTATTTGCTTACTATTTTTCAAATATGTAATTTGTGATTTTTGATTGACTTGCCAATATGTAAATATTAATATATTAAAGTAAAAGTAAAAGACAAAAGTAAATATAAATTATCGTTGAAAAATTGACAAAACTATTTTCTTTTATATAAATGTTAGTTAAAAAGAAAAAGAACATTTCATTATTCAATTGACTTATTATAAGTGAAGGTTAGTCAAATTAGAAAGTTTTGAAAAAATGTATCTTAAATAATATTTTTCATATTGTAATTTAAGACATAAAGAGAAAAATGTTTGTTCTTAAAAATCTTCTTATATTTATTTCTGTAATGCATCACATTAATGGAAATGAAAATGATGGAAAGGGTAAGAATTAATAAATGAAATTTTTAATATAAAAATTATAGTTTGATATAGGTGCTAGTGCATCTTCGACTGAAGTTGGTGTTGGATGTTTTTCTGGTGATTCGTCAGTTATGTTAATTAATGGTGAACAAAAACAAATAGGTCATCTTAAAACCGGTGATGAAATTCTTGCTGTTAATAATTTGAAAATAGTTCCCAGTGAAATGATTATTATGTTAGATAAACATATATCAAAACAAAGTATTTTATCAATTTTTCTATATTTCAATTTTTGAATTGATTATTTATTTAGCAATATTTTATACATTTATAACTGATTCTGGTCATAAAATTAGTTTAACAAGCCTTCATTTAATACCAATTATATCTTATAATAATAAAATTGATTATATATCAGCTAGACAAGTTAAATTAGGTGATCAATTTTATGTTATTATAAATGATCAACTTGAATATTCCCAAGTTATAAATATAACTATTGAACTTAAAAAAGGATATTTTGCTCCATTAACTATGACAGGTAAATAATATATGATTTATTTAATTATAATTAACATATATATTTATTAAATAAAGGAACATTATTGGTCAACGATGTATTTGTAAGTTGTTATGCATTAGTAAAAAATCATCAATGGGCACAAATATTTATGGCACCTTTTCGTTGGTATTATAAATTATCTCGTTTTATATCTGTAAACGATCCATTTGATAATAATAGAATAGATGGAATACATTGGATAGTCGATATTTTTTATCAATTTATAAATTATATTCAACCTTCGATATTACAACGTATATAAACAATAATTTAGTATTTTTCTATATATTTAACACATCTCGTTTTTTTTTTATTATTATTATTATTCATATTCATATTCACGCTTTCTTTTGGCTTCTAAATAAAGCAAAATTATATTTAACGAATCAGATTTTCAATAGTTTAAACAATAATTTTTATTTTAAGATCGAATAATTTAATTGTTGATATGAGAAAAAACGTCATATTATCACGATAAACTATGAATAATTAAAGAAATTTTATTTATTTATCAAACACCAGTATGACTGTATTGTTTAAAATATATATATATATATATTATGTTGAAAAGATAATAAGAAATCAAAATTGATCACTGATTAGATAAAATGAGTTTTTATTATTTTTACTTCTCTTTTCACTATTTTATAGATAATCTAAATTAATAAGACTATTTTAAAAAAAAATTTAATGATCACTGGAAAAAAAAATGATCTTATTCATTTAAATTCTAATAGATAAAGTTTATTTTATTTCTCGTAAATTGATTCTTTATAAATAATATTTTCTTTTATCTATGAAAATAATGTGATATATCAACATTCCATGAACATTTCTTATATTAACAGAATTGTAATGATCAATTTATCGTCAGTGAATAATATCTCTTACAAATATTAAATATTTGTTGCATAATCAATAGAACATAGATATAAGAATTTATATCGAGGATAATTATCTAATCGAATTAGTCACATCAACAAGTTAATCATGTTGAGAAAAACAAAATTATTAATTATTTCCTATGTCTTTCTTCTCATTCATTCATCGAACAATAACGACAAAAATAGTTCGATCAAATTCATTTCTCAGTTTATATAAAAACAAATTGAAAACAATGAATAATATACGTGGGAATAATGTATTTAAATCAAATGATACATCAACAACTGTTTCTTGTTGAACAATGATACGATCTATTTTCGTGTTAAATATTTCAACATCATTCTTAACTAATAATCCATCGTATCGAAAAAAAAAATTTAACTTCGTGTATCCAAATATTTATTTGATAAATTTAAAAAAAAATTATTTTTAACGTGTACTATCGATATGCAATTGAAGAAAAATTACGTAATAAATATTCTGATATACTAAAATCATACAAATTATTATCAAATAATTAATATTGAACGATTTATAATTAAAGGATATTATCTGGATTTTTCAATATACATATAATACTAAATCTTATCTTTATTGTTAAGAGAAATTAAAAATTTTTAATAATAGATTCATCTTCATGATCAAAGATGTATTATTCTTTCAATTGATTATGGTCAAAGTTGACGACCTCTATATTCAAAGTAAGAACGTTAAAAACTTATTTATATTCGTCAATATATCACTTATACTTAATAGAAACTTTTATTATCAGCATCGTCATATACGTATACATAGACCGATTTTTTTTTTTCTTACATAAACATATAAGAATTATATGTCATTAACCAATTTATTACATTAATACCATTTTATTATGAATAGTATCTATCATATTGTTGATTAAATATTTTTGTTTTTTAGAGAAAATTTTCTATTTATATAAAATGGTAAGAGAACTAAAGGATATCCCCAAAAATAGTCTACATTATCATCCCAATAAGGAACAAAATGAATGGTTTTAGTCTAAAAACTACTGATACAAATGCTCTATTAAAATGCATTTATGCAAATTCTGACGCAATAATTAATCTTCTTATATAAATTCTTCATCTCTTACTATCTGTAGATAAATTTCAAGAAAGTCGGAATATGCTTGTTCCATAAGTATAGAAAATTTTAACCAAAACCAAATTTTTTATTTTTTTTTATAATTGCCCAATCTGTGAGTTGTACAATTTATTTTAATTCTAATTGAGACTTGGCTTTTGTATTATCTTTCATGTTCAATTGATATTAGTTTAATTAAAAATTTAAAGATGTACGATAAAATCTATGACTCCTTTTCTTCATGCCATCCATTCTATAGATACATATTTACAAAAGATAAATCATCAATGATTTAAATCCAATATAAATTAAGTAAATAAATTGTAAATATTGCTAATAATTCCATTGAAATAATAATCGAAATTAAATTAAATCGAACTTATTTTGCTAATACAACTGAATCCCTAAATTTTATTGGATATATTTTAGAAAGTTTAGAATTGTCAACATACATTAATTTCATTCGTAAACTAAAACTAATATTACTTTTACAAAAAGTAGATTCAATCGAACTTAACAAAGACGAAAACTAATATGAGCTATGGTTTCTAAAGAAATTAAATGATATACTGTTAATTGATCAATCCTGATAATTAAATAAATATATATATTAATATGGAAAACATTCTCTAAATGATACACAGAAAAATGAAATGGAAGTCATATATATCTACGACGAAATGTTACAACTCTATCACAATCGATAGTGCCTAAACACACATACATGTCAAACTTGAAAGTTGAATTCAAGTGTTCAACTATTCGAGAGAAATAGGGAGGGGGCTGAGAGAGATATTATGGATGGGTGGAGGGAGAGGGGGGAATATCACAGAAACATTATCATGGGGAGACGCGGTGAGGAAGATGAAAGAATAACTAGCAGATGAAAGAGAAAATGTGGGAGGGGGGGGGGGGAGGGGGTAACAGAGAAACTAGGAGAATTGGAGAGGTATGGGAAGGCAAAGCCCACTGAAAGCAAAACCAACTGAGGGAAAACCCTTTACCCGCATAACTAATCTTTTATATCGGTGGGTGCGACGTGGAGTCGTGCAGCGCTCCCTGAAGAGCCACGACCCATACACGTCGCTGTGTAGACAGCGAAGTATATCATTGGTAGATTCTATGGAATAACTTGAATAGTTGAATTCAACTTTCAAGCTTAACATTACTGTTTATTAGCCGATATTAGAAAACGATAACAATAATTGTCTTAGTTAGTTTTGTAGAGCTTTCGTTGCTCTACAATCCTGTTCATTTGATTATCTCGTTTCAACGAAAAAAAAAATATTTTTTCAATTCGAAACATGAAAGGTTTTAATCAAAAACCACTAAAAGTCAAGAATTTCAGTTTTATTGATCTTTTTGTAAGATTGCGTTATTTTTCACGACTTACTGGTACCAATGACATTTTTTTCTTAAACACTACGCCTAGTTATGTTCTATCAATAGTTATATAAACCAAATTAAAAAATCAAAGACGTTGCAGAGAAACTCATTCAACACTATAAGAACATCGCAGTTTTTTTTTATATTTATTTTATAGACTATTTTCTAATATTTGTTTTTTTTTTTGATTATTTTTAAGAATTATGCTAACAAGCGCATGTGATGAAAATCGGAGAAAAACCGACGGTTTACAGCTGTTTTATCGGTCCGATTACCGGCTCTAATAATTGTGGTTTGTCACTGTTTGTTCTGTGGTTAATCGGCACGTTTTAGTTCTTGTACTATGACCATTCAATTCCTACTTTTACTAAACATTATAGTTCAGTTGGATGATTACTCTTTCAACTAAATTTTATTTCAAAATCAGCGAAACAAACAACAAAATCAAATATAGAAAAAAGAAAAAAACCAGTACCGATTATGTTTGTTGTTGTTGAATAACACCAATTTCAGCTGTTGTCATTGTATCGTGCAGCAACATTAATCCAGTGTTTACCCCATCATCTAAATGAAAAACAGAAAATATTCAATATTGTTGACTAATTATTAAAAAAGATAATTAATTAGATAATTTTAAACATTGAAAGCTTTTAACATTTTTTTCGTTTGTAAAAAAAAATACCTTTGAATATCATATTGCCTTTCAAGTACTTCTACCATGAGTTGCCTAATTCGAGTTCGAATATAAATGGAAAGATAACTGTTTAATATTACTTCGAAAATAATTGAAAAAAAAAATGGCTTAACTTTGGAAGTAGAAAAGAAGAACTAAATCAATAATGTATATAATTCGAATCTTTAAATTCGAAAGCAGACTTCTGCACCTTAGATACTAGAGGCATCTCCTGATATACTACTAAGATTACCTCAGATGCTACAGGTACCCTTTGTGATAATACAGGTACCATTCCTCTATAGCCTTTCGAAGAATACACTGGCTCCTTCTATAAGGATGAAAAATAATGATAACCTAATGCTAACACAAAAGCCTTTTATTCACTTTCATTCGAAAAATACCAGTGCTGGTCGTAGTGCGACACGCGTAGTACCCAACGATCCAAAACAATTTTTTCCCACGTAACTGACCTTTTATATCAGCGTCGCGGTATGGGAGCGCGAAATGCCCTCTCAAGAGCCGCAACCTATGCTCGTCTGTGTGTACACAATAATGAATTAAGTGAAAGTTGAAATCATAAGTATAATTCAAATAAATTATTTCTTTTTCTTCTTTTTTCTACTGCGACAGGGGTGTGCCTTCGACTTTATAAATTCAGTAATACATAAGCTAGAAAAACTTTTTCTTTTACTTTTATGTTATCAGGACATAGAAGGGACTCTTTTTGAATTTTTCATTTATTTTCGTACTCGAATTAGGCATCTATTCACTCCTACAGAATAAGCATGATCAATATCGAGTAATTCACTTACAGGAGTATTTTGTTCTCTTCTATCATAGAAGACTCAAAAGAATGAATGATGCAACATATACATATATATATATATATATATATATATGCATATATTGTTTTTGTTCTGTCACTAGTGTCCACTTATTCGATGACCCACGAACAGAACCAAGTCAAATATTGTCATACAATCCTATGTATTCATATATCCATATATAAACATAATAGCACGTGTCACAAAAAGTGTTGTCTAAATAAGCATGTAAAAAAACCTCTGGTGCACATTGTCTTTTTTCCAATATCTTCTTCTTTTTGCATCAGTTTGTATAGTAAAATCAATCTCTTGCGACAAATAAATAAACATAAAATTTAGCATTTTATTTTTTTTTCCTAAAAAAAGAAATTATCTTCGATTACA